CACACACACACACACACACACACATTAATGGTCTGATACAGGGAGAGCCATGGCTATTTCCAGGCAAAAATGCACATTTGCCTCTGCCTCTACTTTCTACACATGATGCCTGGTGTGTAATAAAAATTGTGAAACATAGAAGCAAGCAAGCAAAACCCCAAAACTATCTTATTGTCAAGAGATAAAGCCATTGACAGAACTATATTTAGAAACTCAGCAATAATACAGATGTTGGAGCTATCAGACAGACACTTTAAAATAACTTTGATAATTTATATTAAAGGATCTAGTGAAAAATGTGAACAACATGCATAAACAAATGGGGAATTTCAGCAGAGGAGTGAAGAATTACAAAAAGGAGTCAAATAGAAATACTAGAAAAAAACTATGGGATATCAAAAATGAATAATTCCCATTATGGGCTTATATTAAGACAGGGGACACATGAGGAAAGAATCAGTGATCTTGAAGATGTGTCAATAAAAATTATCTAAACTGAAATAGAGAGGAAAAAAATAAGTGACAAAAACCAAACAGAGCATCCAAGAACTGTGGGACAATATCAAGTGATCAAACTTGCATTTGACCCATATCAAACAAGTATGGGTCACCAAAGACCCAGAAAGAAAAGAGAGAGAAAACAGAGCCAAAAATATATACTTAAAGAGATAATGGCTGAGAATTTCCCCTAATGAAAGACAACAAACTACAGATCCAAGCAGCTCAAAGTATCCCAAGCAGAATAAACACTTAAACACACAAACAGAGAGAGAGAGAGAGAGCCCACATACAGAGACAGGTTATAACAAAACTCCTGAAAATCAGAGAGAAAATCTTAAAGGTAGACAGAGATAAAGGAAACTGCAGACAGGGCAATAAAGAATGACAGCAGATGTTTCAAAACTATGCAAGCCAGGAGACAACAGTGTGACATCTTTAAAGCATTAAAAAGAAAAAAGCAATGAACTCAGAATTTTATACTCAGTGAAAATAACTTTACAAAAATGAAGAGAAAAGAGGTTTTTTTCACACACAAAAAAGTTGAAAGGACCTGTTGGCAACTGATCTTCACTAAGTGTTAAGAAATAAATGAAATGCTTTAAGCAGAAGAAAGATAATACTAGATGGAAATTTGTTTCCATGCAAAGAAATGAAATATACTTGAAATAATAAAAGGAAGGGAAATACAAAATATATTTTCTCTTATTTTTAATTGTTCTAAAGGATAATTGAAAGCCCATGAAAAGATGCTTGACATCATTAGTTGTCAGAAAAATGCTAATAAAAGCCACAATGAAATACCATTGCATAGCCAATAAAATGGCTAGAATAAAAAAGTTAGATAATAAGAGGTGTTGACAAGGTTATAAAGAAATCATAACCCTCATACACTGCTGGTAGAAATTTAAAATTGTGCAGCCACTCTGGAAAGCAATCTAGCAGCCCCTCAAACAATTGAACGTAGAGTTATCATATCAATCAGCAATTCCACTCCTAGGTATATACCCAAGAGAAATGAAAACATGCATCTACACAAAAACTTGTACATGAATGCTTAAAGCAGCATTATTTATTAATAACCAAAAGTTGGAACCAGCCCAAATGCCCATCAACTGACAAATAGGTAGGAAAATGTGGTGTATCCATACAATGGAATATTGTTCAGCAACAAAACGGAGTGAAGTATCAATCATGCTATAACATGGATGAACTTTGAAAACCTTATGCCTAGTGAAAGAAGCCAGTTACAAAAGATGACATATTATATAATTTCACCTTTATGAATTTCCAAGAATAGGCAAATCTATAGAGACAGAGGTAGATTCATGGTGTTTATGTCTGGGAGATGAGGGCCTAGGGGGTGATAGTGGAAGGGTAAAGATTCTTTCTGAGGTGATAAAAATGTCCTAAAATTTAGTGCAGTGATGTTTGCATGTATCTATGAGTATACTAAAACTCATTAAATTTTACACTTTAAATGGATGAATTATGTGGTATATGAATTATATCTCAATAAAATTATTAAACTTAAAAGAAAAAATAATTAACTCTAAGGCAAAAAGAGTAGTACTGTATTGTGAACTTTATAACATATGGAGAAATAAAATACATAATGAGAATAGTGCAAAGATAGGGAGGGAGGAAATAAGGGTTTACTATCATAATCAAATGGGAATACTACAACTGAAAATACAATAACTGAATACTTGACCTTTTGGATATATACATGAATACAAATTCTTTTTAAGCGTAAGATGAGCATTTATCAAATTGACCACATTATCAATAATAAAACAATTCTCAACAAAGTTCAAATGATAGAAATAATATAGTGTCTTCCTTGACCTCATGGATTTAAGCTAGAAATCCATTTTCAAAAAACAATGGAAAATAGTCAAATATGTTGAAATTAATGAATGCACTTCTGAATAATGCATGAGTCAAAGAAATAATTGAAATGGGGAGTAAAGAATATTTTGAACCAAATGGTAGTAAAAATATTATATATATATATATATATATATATATATACAAACTTTGGGATGCAGCTAAAGCCATGCATAGAAGGAAATTTTTAGTCATAAATGCCTCTATTAGAAAAGAAAGCCAAAAATTATTAATTGAAGCGTCCATCTCAAAAAATTAGGAAAAAAATAAAATTAAATCCAAAGAAAATAGAAGGAAAAATGTAATAAAGAGCAGATATTAATGAAATAGAAAGCATACAGTAGAGAAAATCAGTACAGCCAAATTCTTTGAAAAGATTAATAGAATTGAAAATCCCTAATAATACTGAACAAGGTAAAAAGGAAGAAGCCACAAATTATGAATATCAGAAATTCAAAAGACAATATCACTACAGATCCTGCAGATGATTAAAAGAAAATATTATCAACAACTGTATGCTGGTAAATTTGACAATAAAGATAAAATGGACATATTCCTTGAAAAATACAGCTAAGAAAACTGACACAAGAAGTAAAGAATCTAAATAATTCCATTTCTGTCAACTAAATTAATCCATTATTATAAACCTACTAGAACAAAACTCCATGCCCTCATAAATTTGCTTATGAATTATTCTAAACGCTGAAGGAAGAAATAAAACCAATCTCACAGAAACTATTTCAGAAAATAGAAAAAGAGGACGCTCTTCTCAGCTAGTGTTATGAGGCCAGCATAGCTTTGATTTCAGAAACTTGCTAAGGACATTCTGAGAAAGGAAAATCACAGTCCAATATCTTTCACGAACATAGATACAAAAATTCTTAACAAAATATTAGCAAATCAAATCCAGAGAAACATAGCAGGATAATACAACATGAACACATTGGGTTTTTCCCAGGAATGCAATGCTTATTTAACGTTAAAGAATCAATCAGTGTATTTGTTGCAGAAATGGAGTAGCGAAGAAAAGCTATGTCATCATCTCAATAATTGCAGAAAAATAATTTCATCAAATTTAAAATCAGTTTGCAAAGAAATCCTTAGCAAACCAGGACTAGATGAAAATTAATCTAATTAATGGATTTCTTACTGAAACCTTTCAGCTAACATCATAATTAATGCTGAAATATTTAAAGTTTTACCACTGAGAAGCAAGACAAAGATATCGCTATCGCACTTCTATGAACATTATTGTAAAGCCCTAGCCAGAGCAAGAAAGCAAGAAAAAGAAATAAAAGCCATTAGGAGGGTGTGTTAGTTTCCTGTGACTGCTGTAACAAATTGTTACAAACTTGGTGGCTTAAACAACAATTTAATTCTCTTTACAGGTCTGCAGACTAGAAGTCCAAAATTTGACAGGATTGTGCCCCCTCTGGGAACTCCAGGGGAGGATCCGTTTCTTGTCTCTTCCAGTTTGGCACGTGGCTGCATCACTCCCATTTCTGCCTCCATGTTCATATCAATTTCCCTTCTGTGTGTCTGTGTTATTTCCCTTTTCTTCTCTCTTATAAGGACGCCTGTCATGGCATTTAGGGCTCATCCAGATAATCCATGACAATCTCCTTAGCTCAAGATCCTTAACTTAATTATAACTGCAAAGAGTCTTTTTCCAAATAAGGTAACATTTACAAGTTTGGGGGTTAAGGTTTGACTTCTTTGGGTGGCCATTCTTCAATCTACCACAGATGGAAAATGAATAAATAAAATCATCATTATTTACAGACAACATGATTTTGTAAATCATAAACTCAAAGAATCTATAAATGAAATAAGATACAAATTTAGTAAGGTTGCCAGACACAAACCACCATTTTAAAATTAATTGCACTTGACATACAATCAACAGTTAGAAAATAAAGTTTCAAAAGTATATCATAAGAGGTAGTATGGAAACCAAACGATACCTAGAAACAAATTATGTACAACACTTCTACAGTAAAAACTACCATAACTGAGGGAAACTGGAGAAGACCTAAATAACTAGACAGATACATCACATTTCATAGACTGAAATATCCAATATTGTGAAAATGTGAGATCTCCCTAAGTTGGTCAATAGATTCAAGGCAATCTAAATCAAAATTTTCCTTGCTTTTAAAATGGAAACTGACAAGCTGATACTAAAAAGTGTATGGAAATACAAAGGGCCAATAATAAAGATAAGCTTGAAGAAGAGCAACAAAGGTATAGTTCTTATACTACCAGATATCAAGGCTTAATATAAAACTATAGTAATTAAGACAATTGCATAAGTAATTTAGACACATTGGCATATTCACGGAAAAAATAGAAAGTGCAGAAAGAGACCAACATTATCATTATTCTTCACCTAAGTACTTTCTTCTCCCAGAATCCACCTTTAATTGCTACGGTCTGCGATGTTCTCCTCTTCTCTCCTGACCCATTTCCCCTTAGCATAGACTTTTTTGTTAAAGGTTGTTTGCACATTGATCTTAACCCTCTACTGCCGTAATCTTTTGGAAGAAAAGAAAAAAATCTACTATTTCTTTATATATAATAAAAACTAACCGTCTCTGTAATTTTACTCACAGAAAGGAAGCCCTGCAGGGAACTTTCTAGATGATCTGCTCCAGCTCCCACATCTTATTGAAGAGTGAACCTCAATTCTGAGAGGTGGAGAGACTTGCTAGAGTAACATACGTGGTTAATGGAGGAACCAAACCTAGGGTCCAGTTAAGAAAAATCGTAAGTTGACAGGAAATTCTATCATCTCTGACTCCCTATGAAAAATACAAAGAATACACTCTAACCCCATATAAAAAAATGGCACTTGCTGTTTGTGTATTTCTTATAGTATTGTGATCTGTTTTATATTAAGACCTGGAAGGTCTCCTCAGAATGGATTTTCATTTGTAGAGTCAATCCTCCAGCGAAGGATGACATGGAGAGGAAGGCAGGAGAGGATAATTCAGCATCTCTAAGCTCTCCCTGCTCTGTTTGGTCTAAACCTTGAGCAGAGCAGACATTTTGACAAGTGCTCCCATAGTGCTGTCAAGGTGGGAGGATGAGGAACGACAAAGCGGTATTCACTGTAAGAGACAGGCTGGAGGAGAGGAATGAGACCCCAGCAGTTGGCTGCAAGCTGAGGGAAGTGAAGAAGTTCCATGTTGTGACCCGTGATCTGAGTTCTGAATTGATCTCCCCTTTGAAATCCTACTGTTTATGAAGTTCATTTCAACTCTGCACAGGGTGTCATGGGAAGGGCCATAATCCTGCCTTAGGAACAATGTGCTGACAGACAAACATCGGTGCTATGAGGCAGGGCTAACCTGAGAGCACTCCAAGGGAAAGAGAATCTTGAACAAAAGTAGCCACCTTATTGGCCTGCCAATCCACCCTAGCCAGAAATTTTCTCTCTATTGCACACTTGCGTAAATTAAGATTTATTTAATGAAGGAAGTTATTTGTATCTTTACATCCTCAGCCCTCTTTCCTCTGGGGAATCTGACCTCACTTCCTCACATCTCTGGTTGTACCTTCCTCTCATCAGAGAATTGGTCTCTTTAAGAGATGGGAGATGAGTTCATAAATAGGCACTCCATCTTCTCATGAGCCAATTTCAAAATTAAGCCAAGAAGTCTCCTCTCATTCTCTTTCTCCTTAGGCTTCTGTCACCACTTGGAGCTCTCTGGCAGGAAACACATTTTTGTCTGGTGGTTGTGAAATGAATTGCCAACCGTCAGGTTGGAGGGAGAAGAGCTGGAGCAGGTACCTCAGCACCAAGAGGCCCAGGCATGATGAATACTGGTAGCACTTCAACAGGAACAGAGAGAGAATTCCAGAGGTGGGAAACACGACTCCTCCAACTAGAAAAGAGTTAATGTAATCTTAAGCTCCAAATCACCACAGATGGCTGCCTCAGAGAGTCAGCCGGTCTCCATTCATAGGAAATCACTGGTGGGACAAGAGTTTACATCTGTACCCAAAAAAATCTCTTCTGGTCTCTGCCATGAAGGACAGACCCATGTCAAAAAAGGTAGCCATGGGAAGAGAGAAGCTTATTTCCCCCTCGACCCTCCGTAACACCCTATTGTGTCTGGGAAGGAATGGGGGTAGAAAGTCTAGTGAGAAAATTTCACCACGTCAAACTGTCTCAATCCCTTTTTTTATAGCTGTTGTGGAAAACAAAATGTTTAAGCCCTCGGTCCATGTGTTTAAAAAATAATTATAAAATAAGAGAAATATGCATTTCATGCATGAAGCATTTTAAGACACTGAAGTATGAATCTCACAAAAGCCCCTGCTTCGGTCAGGACACTGGTTGGCATTCATCACTTACTGTAAACCTGGACTTCAGTTCCTGGATTCTTGGGGAGCCTGTGTCTGCTTCGGCAGCTCCTGCCAGCATTCACAGTTCATAGCCCTCTAGTATCACAATTTCCCATCCTGGGAGAATGTGTTGTTCAGGACATACTCCCCTAGTCCTAGGTACAACTTATGGTGAAAATGACCAAGGAATATGTTGAAGCTGAACCGGCTCCCTTTGTGGCTTTCTTTTCTTTTTGCCTTTTAAAAGGATTTCAGGAAATATTTGGAAGATTTTTTAGAAATCATAGCCTTTAGGGAAAACAGTGTGATCACTTATTTATTGAAAAAGCATGCAGTAGAACAGAATGGCCAAGAGGACTAGTTCTGGGGCCAGCCTGCTTGCTTTTACCTCTCATCTCCATCACTTATCAACTGTATGGCCTTGGCCAAGAATGCAAGCCATCTATGCCTCAGACATCTTCATATATGATAAAACGGGGATGATAACAGAACTTAGCCTCACACAATTGTTGTATGTGAAGGAATGCATCACTGATGAGGACATATTGGCTGGCTGTATGAAAAACTTAGAGTTTCTCAACATCTGTGCAGACAAGTGCCTTTCATTTGTCCTTTTAAAAATAAAATCGATCATATACTTTCCATTATGTGTTAAAACAATTTGGAAAGCATGTACACAAAAGTAGAAGAGAGAAGAAAAAACATTCTTGTTGCCCTCCACAAAGGGAAAAACTGGTTAAATTTTGGTATGTTTCCTTCTGTTCTTTTTCTGACATAGATAAAAGAAAACCAAATCATACACATAGTTGTGAGTTTGCTACTAATGCCAATCCAGAAGAAGATGGCTTATAAAGGTAAATGTACTGAATAGCTCAAAACTGGACCCAGTTTCATCTTGCTTGAGGCATTGTCCAGAGTGGTCTCCACGATTATTCCATTGAGCGCTCCTGCTTCTCCAGCCAGAGGGCAAGAACTTCAAGGGGAAAAAATTACAGTTTATTCATTTTATAACTTTCCCATTTTTATAAACATAGGTCCAGGCATATGATAGATTCTCAATAAATCATTGTAGAAGAGGATTGAGAAACCATGGGGTAATTTATTATTGTTATGGTAGTGATATTGAAAACCTTGGCTAGGGTAAGACCAAAACTTTGTTTGCTGAAATAACTGAAGTCTCCAACAAGTAAAAGTTCCTGTTAATGAATTCAAAGAAAATTCCCAAGTACTTTAGCTTACCTGTTGAGGGCAACCTTTGGTCCTATTAGGGATAGCATCAAATTGTCAGAGCTTGTTTGGCAATTTTCACAGAGGAGTAGAGATGCTTGAATAGCCCAGACCAAAAAGGGATGCTCGTTAACCTTTTTCTAAGGACCTAGCTTGGGGAGGATCACAGACAGTGGGGTGATCGGGGAAGGGCATGTCTTCTCAGTTGGCCTCACTGGGGGCATGGTTGGCATAATCTGATCTCACCCTGGATATTCTCACAGAATTGGCTCTCAGCACAGAAGTCAGAAGTATTTGTCTTTGAGGTCAACCTCTTCATCCTCTTGTGGGTGGCTACTCCTATTCCTAAGTACCCAGGCCCTTTGAGGCACTTCTGATGTGTCCAGAATTAATTTCAGGAAACCAACCTCCATCTGACATTTACATCTTAGCAGGAATAAGTCACTGTGCTCCTTCCCCTAGGTGAACTAATTCTTTAAGTCTCATCTGTCACAGTGTAAAGATATTTCTGTCTCCTATGTCAACCAATAGAGGAGGGAAGAATTTGGGGAGTATTAGAACCACCCCAGGTCCTGGAGTTTTACTATAAAAACGGACACTTCATTATGCCTGTTCTTACTCTTACTTTCCCCAGTGCTCCTGGAACCCTCCTCCTCCTAGCACTTCCTTCAGTATTCTTTCTTTCTTTGAACCATAGAGTTACAAACAAAGCTTTTTCTCATTGGATCTTCACAATAACTAGTACAGCTGGCAGGGAAGAGACTAAAATTATTTACAGTTCACAGATGAAGAAATTGAGATTTAGAAATAAGGATTGTCAGAGCAAAGGTACACAGGGTTTAATGGCAGAGACAGGAGTAGATACAGGTGCCCTGACTTGGGCCCAGAACCTTTTTCTCACTAGCACCCCACTGTGGTGAGGTAGTGGCTGAAGTCAGAGCCCGTGACCCTTCCTCAGGGTTGGGTCTTCCTTGCCATTCATTCAAGTAAGAACAAGACTTTGGTGGAAGAGGCTGCTTGACTCCAGCGAGATGCTACTCCCCTCCACAGGCCTGGCCACAGGTGAGAAGAGAGGAGTTGGGTTGGTCAGGTAGGCAGGACTGCTTGTGTTTGGCCTCTGCCATCACCAGCGCCTGAAAGTCTGGGATTTCTTTCTAGTGTTGCTGGATAGCTTTCCCCAACGTTTTAGAGAAATAAGAACTTGGATGTGTCATCTAAGTAATTCCAAGTCCAAACTGAAATTTTATTGTCTCTATTGACTGTTTATTCACTTTTATCTATCTGTGGTCTCCAGAGCATCAGTGCTACTGATACTTGCCTACAGCCACCTCAGTCAGTGTCAGAATTATCCTGAAATATCTGAAAATGCTGCCATGCTGTGAAACCCAAGTAGTTTTTCTATGAAGGCTGTACATGAAACAGCTATGCCGCATAATAAAAATGATTGTTATAGATAAGGTTTGCTGAGTGCTTATCACGTGCTTCAATGCGTTTTATGTAGGCATTAGTCAGTATAGGCAGGGAGATGCTACAATAACAAAATTACCATGAGTATTTGTTCTCTATTCTGTCGTAATAACTTACTACAAATTTAGAGCTTAAAACCTGGATTTACTATCTTACAGTTCTGTCGATCAGAAGGCTGACACAGACTTCATCAGACTAAAATTGAGGCAACAGCAGGGCTGTGTTCCTTTTGGGAGGCTCCAAGGAAGAATCCATTTCCTTACTCATTCATGTTGTTGGTAAAATCCAGTTCCTTGCAGTTGTAGGACCCAGGTTCCCTTTTTCTAGCTGACTGTAAACTTAGGTCCCCACTCCCAGCTTCCAGAGACTGCTGCCTTCCTTGGTTCATGGCCCCCTTCCTTCATCTTCAAAGCATCAATGACATGTTGAGAACTTCTCACATTGCATCCCTCTGACCTACCTGAGAAAAGTTCTCCGGTTTTAATGACTCATATGGAGACTGGACTCCAACAGATAACCCAGAATAATCTCCTCATCTTGAAGTCCATATCCTTAATCGAATCTACAAAATTCCTTTTGTCATGTAAGCAAAAATGTATTCACAGGGTCCAGGGGATGAGGGTGTGGACCTTTTTGGGGAGTCATTTTTTTGCCTGCCACAACCTGAAATCTCAGTGGCTTAACACAAAATTTTTTTTCTTGCTCACGTAAAGTCTAGTGGGTATAATGCAGCTTCTCTCTATCTTGGATTTCTAGCGTTTAGGAGAAATGACATTTATGTCAATGCTATTGCTGAATCAAGTAAAATGGAGACTATCGGGTTAATAAGACAGCCTTGACTAGGATAATGTTGATGGAAAGAGAAGATAGAAGCCTGCTTGGGGTGGGCTAAAGAGATAATAGGAGGAGGTTATTTGAAGATAGTAGTATAGACAACTATTATTTTCATTTTATGGAGGAGAAAATCAAGGGCTAGGGGTTGTCTATATAGAGCCTAGAGTGGTCCCCAGGAAATTGAGAAGTTGGTGAAGTTTGTCTGGAGGTCACTCCATTAGGGCATGAATTCTAGACTGACTCTCAAAAATCCAGGGTCTGGACTCAGGCCATTTATTTCTCTGAGAATTTACTTGACTATGTGCCCATGGTGTCAAATACAGATAATACATTGAAGGTGTAATATGTATGTCTATAATACATAAAAATATGTATATATTTACCACGTATCAAATTAAACAAACAAAAAATACAGTGTAGTAAGGGCTATAATAGGTTTGAACAAGGATTTCTTACATCTGAGAATAAACTAGCCTATGTTAAATTTGTGCTGCATTATATGTTATGTGTTCAATCGATCCTCTGTTAAGGAAGATCTGTCCAGTGTGAAAACAAAGGAGACAGTAGTTTACGATCATTATGAGTATTGAGTTTAGAACCCGACACTTAGGCTTAAATCACTACTTTGCTACTTACAGCTACATCAAGTTAATTAACTTTCCCCAGTGTCTACTTTGCCATCTGTAAAACAGATATGACAACAGCCTCATCCTGTAAGTGAGATAAATGCAGAATTAATGTAAAGCACCTAGAACAATACTCAATAAATATTAGGCATTATTATTGTTATTATAGTTAACTGGATGTGAAGAGGATGTGGGGGTGGTGATGAATGGGTGGAGGACTCAGAGAAGGCATGATAGGAAAGCTTTTCAGTCAGCTACTTAAAGGATGGATTGAAGTGTGAGACTGCAGATGGAAGGTCTGGTCTAGGTCTATTTTGAGAGTTAGTGATAAGGAGGAGGGCCTGAACTATCAGTGGCCATGGAGGTGGTGAGGATAGCATGGATTTGAGAGTTCTTTAGGAGGTAGAATCAGAAGGACCTGGTGGTAGGGAAAGGAAGGGTTGAGGCTAACTCCCAGGGTTCAAGTCTATGATACTGGATGGTATCATCAACTAAGAGAAGTTTTGTGGGAGAAGATGACCTTAATTTTGGCTCTGTTTACTTCTAGGTGCTGCAAGACCCACAGGTAGAGATGACTATGCTCCACTGGATGTGTGGCTCTGGGCTTCTGTTCTCTCCATCTCATTTGAAAATAAAGATTCAGGTAATACCTGCATGCTGGCCCTGGTCGTCCAGTCGTTAGTATTTGGCGCTCTCACTGCCTTGGCCTGGGTTTGCTTCCTGGTCAAGGAACCACACCCCCAGTCCCTTGGTTGTCATATTCTGGCAATTGCATCAGACAGGTTTCAACAGAGCTTCCAGACTAGGAGGAAGGACCTGGCCACCTACTTCCAAAAATTGGCTGTGAAAACCCTGTGAATAGCGGTAGAGCATTGTCTGATACAGCACTGGAAGGTGAGAGGATAGAACAATAAAAGACTGGGCAGTGTTCCTCTCTGTGGTACACAGGGTCACAAGGAGTTAAAATTGACTTGACAGCACTAACAACAATATCCACAAAGAAGTAGTAGTGGAAAGTTTGTGTGTGAGTAATATCACCAAGGGATAATGTAGAATAGGGTTTTTCAGTTTTGACATTATTGACGTTTTGGTTGGGAGGGTTTACTTCTTGGGGGTGGGACTTGCTTATACATTGCAAGATGTTTAGCGGTGCCCCTGGCCTCTACCCACTACATGCCAGTAGCATCCCCTCTCTCCAGTTACGGCAACCAAAAATGTTTCCAAAAATTGCAAAGTATCCCTGGGGGACACAATTGCCCCTGGTTGAGAACCACTGGTCAGAATAAAGGCACGAGGTCAAAGAACGGAACCCTGAAGTCCACCAACATTTAAAAGGAAGATAGAGGAATAGGAGTTAGTGGGAACAATCAAGAGTGGAGAGTTTCAAGAGACAAGTGTTTAGAAAAGTCTTCCTCTATGGAGAGGTCACATAAAATATGGGCAGAAAAAAATGATGTGTGAATTTGGTGATGAGAAGGTCCTTGGTGACCTTATTCAGAGGACTGGTGGGAGCAGGAGCTTAGAGGTGAGGAATAAATGGGATGCGTGGGAGTAGAGTTAGTGAAAGTAAGTCAATAAACTTGAGTAAGAAATGAAGGGGTGAGGAGGCAGTAATTAAAGGGGTGGCATATCAAAGGCGTGTCTTCTGAAGATGAATCTTCTTGTGTAGCGCTGCTTCGGGAGCTCGTGCAGGCAATGACCTTATGTTATTTCTTTTTGAAATATCATACTTGATTTATAAGAAAAGGCTCAATAAATATATATCTGTTGATTCAGGGACTTATTTTGTTACCATTTCTTGGACTGTGGATATTTTAAAAGAACTCCAGGAAGAAAGAGATGTTTCACGCAATAGGATGAATCACAAATGACAGGATTTCAGACATGAGTCAGAGATATTTTGGGTGCAGCCCTGCCCTGTGTCCTCTTACCATACCACCTACTCACCTCACATTTCCCACATGGACCCATTGTTCCCTTTTTTGCTGCCAACCAGACTTTGTTCCCTAACTCAAGTCATGGGTAATTATTTCACCCCTGACTAATTCGCAGTGACGAAGAGCTAGTGAACTGGGTAGAGAAGGAGAACAAATTTGGTGTCCTTGTCTTTCCCGGACTGTTCAGGCTGGGAGAGATTGGAATGTTCCCCTGGACTGAATTGCACAAAATTGTACCGTCAGTCTTAAGGGTGTCTGCATGAGCTAATGAGATACAAATAGTGACACATCAAAAAAAAAGCCCAACTGAAAATTTCATAACTTATAATGTTGTCCTAAAGGAGGCAGCAGAGTACATAAAAGGGGAGGGGAGAAGGAAACACGGCTAACAGCACGACTTTTGAGTGGAGTCGTTGGTTTATCTATAGCTTATGAACATAATCTCAGCCTAAAAAGATGAATGAGAAGAGGTTCCGAGAAAGAAAATCTATTATTTGAAGATGTAGAATTGCAGTTTTGTAAAGCCACAAGCACAGGCAAAGCCTATTTTCATTTGGTTTTGACCATAGCTCATGCCATCTCCCCAAAAGAACCCACAACCAGAAATAGATTTTTTGTTTTTTAATTTGTTAACCAATCCATTTACACCAAGAACCATCCCAGATCATAGCCTCTGAGGAGGCAAGACTGACTTAGGCCTTACTCACGGCTGTTCCTTTCATCCCTTAGCCTGGTGCCTGCCACCTAGCAGTTCCTTGGTTAATGTTTATTGAACTAAAAGATAGGATTTTTTAATTGATGCAGTTTAAAGTAGGATTTTGAATGTCTCATTTGATTTTAAATGAAAACTCAGAAACTTCAGCCTAGCCTCGGGTGACACCAGGGGCCTTGAGAGAACAGTTTTCAGGTAAGCCCCAACTTCTGATGTATTGCTCAACAACCAGCTTAATCAGAACGCCTTCTTGAAGCCCACACGATGAGCAGTGACATGCTAATTGAAATGTACTTTCCCAAGTGAACCACTTAGCAATTTATATAAATATCAAAGCCCTGGGCTTTACTGTCAGTCTTTGTTTTGGAATGAGAAATTTATAAAAAACATATGTTTCCAACTGTCATTGACAGAGTGTTCTGAAAATATGGCCACTGAATCACTTCCGACTTTTCTTTCTGCAGACATGGAACTAGTCAGGGTACATTTCTCTGTTAATAACATCTCCTTTCAGAAGGAATCTCTTTCACACGAGGGTTTCATTACTAAATTCTGGGGAGCTATTGATAATGGAGGTGGTACCCAGGGAAAGAATGGCCAGGCAGAAACAGCTAGAATATTTGAAATTCTAATTCTGGCAGATGAGAAAAGGGAAGCAATTATGAGAGAAACGACTGATCTTGTTGCGGCTTGGTAATCCCAATGAATAATATTGTCTTTCCTGGTGATTGTTAGACACGAGCATGTGTCCCTGTCACAGGCAAAGATCTGTGATTGTAAGTGAAATCCTGCCTGAATCTGGAGACTTTCCTATTTGAGCTGGAAGTGGGACCGTCAAACTGTGATCATAAGTCTGGCTTGCTGAAGGACTTGAGAGTGGAGCTGAAAGTGTGAAATCCTACAATAACTGTGTCACTGTGCTACACAGAGCCTCTTTTGTCTTCTTAAGCTATCCGACTTTCCCATAGGGTTTCTTTCCCCAAACATGCCTCAAATGGTGTCGCTTAATGAAAAATGCCACTCAGAACAAGGTAGCTTTCACCGATGACCATACGAGGTGGACATTCTAGTAATTCTAGTCACATGGGAGAGCAGGACGGGTTTAGATAGCTTGGGAAAATGAGTTCCGAGAGTGGCACCCAGAGAATGGCCCGGCTGGTGGGGCAGAAAGAGTGGGTCATATGTCAGTCCATGTCCTCCACGAGCCTCTCCAATCCATCGCAAAAATGCCACAGGCCCCAAAGCCCAGGCGATTGTTTTGTTTCTAGTCTACATATAAATCTTTTAATTGCATGTCCTAAGCCTTGAGACATTTATGTGGAATTGTTTTGGAAAAAAAAGAAAGGAAGGGCGGAAGAGAGAAACTTCTGCTGGCAGCCAAGCGATCTGCATTTCATTTCGATTTAGATAGTTTTGCTATACATTTTTTTCCCAAGGTTTCATGGATTTCAATAATATATCTTTCATCACCAGATCACCAAAAACTGGTTGTGTTGAGCTGTCCCTGGGGCTTCAGAGTGCATATCAGGGATTACTTTATAACTGGGAACTCATGAATTGTACGGGGTTTACAAATGACTTGTTTTTCTCAGTTTAATGGTCAAACCATGAAACTGATAACTTATTCCCGGAAGGGTATGTGTATGATATGTTAAAGGGTCTTTGAGAACAGGATTAAAAAATAATCAAAACACACACACACGCAGACATACTCAGCTAGTTTTAAGTAAGACATTTGCAGAGTGGATGAGGCCTGACTGCTATGAATTGCAGGCTTTAAAATGTCCATTTTAATGTGTTTTTATGTCTCTCTACCCTTGACCCACCTATTCCAACCACGCTAAAAGCTTTGGGCTGAAATTGTTTTTAACCTCTTGGCAGCTATCATTCGACCCTGCAACCCAAGCATGGCATTGTGCAACCCAGTGGCCTTCCAGTAGGAAGCAGCACTGGAGAAGCCCTGAGCTCAGCGTTTGGGACCTGCATCGTGGGAGTCACTGAGCTGGCAATGGGTGCAGCGGGTGGTGGGGTGAGGAAGGGCAAGCGTGTGTGATGCCTTTCTGAGCACATCTGTTTTATTTCATATCGGCCTGATGGCTGTAGCAGGGCAGGGGGAGCAGGAGGGGGGTCGATAGGTGTGGGGTTTCTACAAAAGATATGTTTGGATTTCCATTTTATAGGGATGAAAGGACTTGTGTTTGCTGAATTGCGAACCCATAGAGATACCCTGGGCTGGGAGCAGGGAATTCGGTTGCAGCCTTCGGAGTGGAGGTGATTTATGGCTGGCCGCAGGAAGAGTCTAGGTCCACACACTGAGGGAGGTGGGAATTGAGGAGGCGGAACAAGAAAATGAAAGAAGGACTGGAATTTTCCTGACTCTCCAAAAGCTCTCTCAGTATAACCCTGTGATGAGTTAGGTGCAAATGAATCAGAAACATATGGATTAAACTTCCCTTCAAGTGAAGGAAATAGTGAGAAACAATGGTTGTCAAACTGGGGGCTTGGACCATTCTAATGTGAACTCAGTTGAAAAATATCTCAGGTGACAGACAGGCGCAAGGTCTTCCTATGAGGGCCATTCTCCAATTTTGAGGACAGTTACACCGAAAGCTGATATTCAAAATTACCTTTCTTATTCCCAAGATGACCCGTATTCTGGGATTCACTTCCCATCCCTTCCTGCAACCCTCCCAGGCTGCCTCCAAACTGTAAGGTCTTTTTCGTTTCCCTTTTAGGACACCCCTTGGCTGCCATTACTAATACCTTCTGAGTTTCAGTGGATTTTCAACAACGTGACTTTAATGATATTTTTTCTTTCAAAAATAAGGATTAAAAATATGTGATGGTTAAAGTTGCAGCATCTTTTCTTTGGTTAACATTTGCAGGCTCTGCCATATGCATCATATGCATGGCAATTTTGGTCAATGAGTTTCACTTTTTTCTCGTCTGTGGAATGGGGATAGTAATATCTACCTGCATAGAGCAGCCGTGAGGAAGAACCAAGAAAATGTAGTTAAGACAGAAGGCATCTAATAATCTGAGTTGCTCCAATAGTTTTTAATATCAGCAGGAGTTGGATAATCATCATTGTGAATACCATCTGCCACATATCTTATACCGGAAATAATAGTAGTAATAATAGTTAATATTTATTGAGTGCTAACCATGCACTAGGCACTGTATTAACTCCTTTCATCATTTACAATCTCCTCTGAGGTAGGTACTGTGCTACCCTCATTTTGCTGTTAAATTAGTCTGAGCACTGATGTTTTAGGCACTGGCTGACCACTGTGGGTTTGGATCACCCATGATGTTTTGTAGAAAAGTTATCTTATCAAAACAAACTCAATGTCTGCCCACCCTCAGAGCTCCGAGCAGCCCTCATTCCCTCTCTGGAGTCCCCTGTGACTGGCACAGTCTGCCACAATCCCTCCCACCTGTAAACACATCCCACCTAATGTGATAGCTGTGTCTCTGCTGACCAGGACGCAGGAGTGATCTTGTCATTGCCCTTGTATTTTCTTCTGCTTCTTTTCTCTCTGTGAGTGACTTGTTGCTCCAGTTGCAACCTGGGGTGGACGATCTGTCTCATATTACTTTGTCTTTATCACACCCTTGATGAATGAATAAATAGTATATCAGAAAATATTCCTTGACTTCCTAGATCTGTTCATGTTTAGCTTAAATTAAATGTTTGTGATTTCTATTCTCATTTGCCATCCCTACTAGGGGAGCTGGTGGTTCTGTTCTATTTTATTGGTGGTTTCATGTCCCTCTGCCAGAAAGAAACACTATCACCCTCTAGAATCCTGGGGCCTTGCCTGGGGAACAGTGCGTTGGAGTGTTTGTCTTTCTAATCTCTATTCCGTGAAAGACCTTAGAACCTATGCAGAGCAGGACAGCAGGGAAGATGCCGGAGAGTTCAGCTTATATCTCCTTGGCCCAGTGATATGATGTGAAAATAGCTCCTTGAATCTTGGAGATGTCAGCATGCTGAGTGCATGACAGATAATGAAAGAGGATTGTTCCCACACATTATTTTTATGGGCTCATTGGCTCAAGTTGTTGAATAATAAAAATAAATCCTGTTTGAAAATATAGCGTCACACTTCCAGGTAGACTTAGCGCTATGAGCAGTCAGTGCAAGCTGCAGCCTGGCCGGGGGTGAGCATGAGGTAAGAGCTATTTGCTTTTATATCTCCTTGGGTAGCAGAAGCCTGTGAGGGATGGAAGATAAGCGGCATATATGCCCCCAGTTCCCACTCTCTTATCAGTGACAGACATCACTAATCAATTGTAGTGATCTTTCCTACTTTGCCTGGTTCAGTCTCAGAATTCTCGAGACAGCGTTCCAGGCAGTCACTTCCAATCAGATGGCGCTGGAATGAGGAATGAAACTTATTTGCCAACTGTGTTTTTTCTATAGACAGGATCATGTTGAGTTTAGTATTGCTTAGTAGATAAAATGAATTTGACTTTTAAATGATGAAAAGCGCCATCTATACACTGTATGTTTGACTTGAGGAATGTTACCTAATTTTTTGAACCTTGGTTTACCCATCTCTGAAGTGGAGATATAATAACAAATCTTCCAGGGCTATTGGAGTGATTAAAGAGATGGTATATTTAAAACAACTAGTGGCGTACTGGGGACATTTACTTATCTGTGGCTCCTACTAGGACTGGCTTGAGAAGCCACTTGGTCCTTGACTCTGCAACTAGACCGAATCAAGCTTAAGCCTTTCCCTCTTGGGGTATGACTCTCAAATGGTGAGGAAACTTTGTCTGCTTCCTTTCTCAGCCTGCTTGTAGGTTTTGTAAATGTTTGTGTCATAATAGGAATTGGTAGATCTCTCAGAAGGGTTTTCCTTCAAGAGGTCATTACTCTGGGGATTGACACACATTTGAGTTTAATGCAGTGACACCAATCATTTAGACAAAGTTAAAAAATCTACTCCAGTAACTAGAATTCTAGTGCCTGTCATTGTCACCATGTTAATGGCCCTGGAATTGGTCACCTACTCCTACCCCACTTCAGTGCATTCTTCATACAATTCCAGTGTGTTTTAAAATGCAAATCTAACAATGCCATTCTCCCACTTGGAGATTTTCAATGGCTACTGTACCAGTCAACATTCTGGTAGGAAAGAGACGGCTCACTCAGACAATAAACAAGGGAGTTCAATACAGGGATTATTTACAAAGTGTGGGCAGGGGTAAGGGAAACCAACAAAGAGTGATGGCACACCCCCAGGCTAGCCGCAGCAGCGCCATCACCACCTCTAGGCTGGAGGGGCAATGTCAGGGAGCAGCTGCAACTCAGGTGTTCTCAATAGGGGTGATATCACCCCTCCTCCAAGGGGGAGAAAATTGGTTGGGGCATAGTGAAAACATTTTTCTCTTTTTGTATATAGAGCACAGATATACATAGAGTACACAAATGTGTACATACAGTATATAAGCAAATTTCACTGGGGAATGATTAGGAAAGCAAAATGTCTTAAAAGTTTCCCAGCTCATAGGGTTGATAATGAAAAAAGGATTGAGAAACACTGCTTTAACTGAAAGATTGTGCCTCCTGACAGAATTTACGGCCTCATGTAGAGGAATATGGTGGCCGCAGCCTGCACGGAGGGTGCCTGGGGAGCAGAGGCCCTGACCTCACTCCTCTCCTGTCCTCTGAGCATCTGCATGTGCTTCCTGAGGGCTGAATCCAACTGGACGCCAGAGCCTAAGGGAGTTTGTTAATATAGACCAGGTAGGTCAACCTCGTGGGGCCCAGAGCAGGATGACGAAGGTGGAGAGTGGATTTGGAGGGGCAAATGGAGAATAACCACAGCACTACCAAGAGCTCCTAGGGTCCAGGGCCATATATCTATTTTGGCTCCTAAAGGTCTGCACACCTGATCTCCTGCCTGCTCTTCACCCATCCCCCTTTTGTTGGACTCCACCATCTCATCCCATTGGTTTCCTCAAAACTGAGTGAGCTCCTGACTCAGGGCCTTTGCCACAAACACGCTGCTCCTTCTATATGGCCATGTTTCTTTCCCTCCTTCTTATCCCTCAGCTCTCAGCTTACATGCCACTTTCTCAGGGACCCTCCCTGACCCCCTGGCAGAGATAGATTTTCTCCATTCTAGTGTCTCCTCGAAGCACTAATTATGATCGCAATTCAGATAATTATTTGTGTAATCATTTGCTTAATTTCTCTCTCTCCCACCAGACCAAATGTTTTATGAGGTGAATGCCTAGCACTCAATAAATATCTGAAATTAAGAACTCAGTAAGTATTGGATGAATAGGTACATGCCAGCAGGATATAAATACACCAAAGGCACAGTAGCTTCCTGAAGTCACTGTCTGTGTTAAAACATAGCTTTACCGCTTACTAGCTGTGTGATCTTAAGCAAACTGCTTAAGCTCTCTGAGCCCCAAACTTTACTCATCTATGAAATGAGGATAATAATAGTAGCTATTTTAATAGTAGCTGTGGAGAGGGAAAATAAGTTAGTACATGTAAAGTGCTTAGAAGAGGACTTGGTAATTGCTCAATAAATGACATCATCATCGTCATTATCATTAAACCTTCATTGTGTAATTCTTCTATTGTTAACTGGCTGTTTGGTGATGACATTTGCATTAATCAGAGAAGAAAAAAAGGTATGTTAATCTTAGATAGCACTCATACTAACCATATCATTTTTAGAACTCGGAACCCAATTTTCTTGATACCGAATTCTGAAAACAATTTAGTTTTCCTCTTGTTATATAGTTAGAGTCTAGGGAAAAGTTATTTGATGATTAATTGAGTTTACCCTGTAAAAACCAAAGATTAATCCTTTTTCTGTGAAGAATGTGACAGCTTGGGCTGCTGTGCAAGTCCTTGCTTTGTGATTTCCGTCCCAAGGTTTTGTTCCTAACTCTATATCAGACAAATCAGACACAAAGCGGGAGATGGGGCAGGAAGTGGCATCAGGATTGCTCTGTGTTCCAAGATACATGGTCTTGGGACAATCAGAGTTGCTTTCTGAGAGGCCACTGGGTCACTAGGAGATGCAGGGAGACCAGCTGAGTAGCTGCCAATCACACTGAGAGTGGGACAGAGGATGAAGCACCAGGAAAAGCAAGGAAGGTAACAGGAGTAATACCATGAGACAGGGCACTGACAGCGCCTGCTAGAAACATCTGATCCATTTTCCTGGATGGCGCATCTCCTGTGTGGGAACAATCTAACTGGATTGGGTGGACACACACTGCCTTTTGCACTACAGCAATGCTAAGCATAGACTGAATCACCAAGTCTCACACTAGTCAGAACCTCCCCACTCTGTCTTTTAACAGTGGAAGAAAGTGAGCCACACAGCTATGATAGCATCGGTGCATGATCTCATATGGCCTGACTCCAGGCCAGTATCATTGTCTTCCTTGCCTTTCTCATGTTGCTCGCTCTTCAGATTCTGACTAGAAACTAAAATTAATTCTCATAAAGTCCCCACAAGCAAACCAACTCCCTTCCTTGAGCCACACCACCTGAGTGGGCATCCTGACAATCGCACACATGCATTACCTGCTATCCCAGCTCCATTACTGGAACCTGAGCAATGTCAGCACCATGTGTCCTTGATTTTTCCGAGTGAACCGTGCATTTGACATGGATGGGGGCATGCATGGCCGAGCAATCACTGTCACAGAGGGAAGAATTTATGCTTGCATCTGTGTCTCACCTCTTTTCACATCTGGTCCTGGTAGGCCTTTGGGAATTTGTTGGAGAAGGGAAAGGAGAGCAGTGAAGAGGACTCTCAGTACCGTGGGAGCCAGGGATGAATAAAGATGAGATTGCCACTCTTCCACCTCAAGAGAAGCAGTGGGTTCTGACTGTTTAGTGACTTCATTTCCTTGACCTGAATGCTTCTCTTGTCAGATATTAAGAACCTTAGAAGCATCTCATAAGATGGGTCTCGTGGTTCACCGAGCCAGGATTATTTTTTGAGGATCACCAAGGAAAAGAGTGCTTCACATCTTTAGGGATGTGTCTCAAGGAGTTCATTTCCCTTATTAACCAGGAGTAGGTTTATCCCTCATGAATTCATTCAAACTCTTTTTGAAATAGTGCATTTCTGTATCATCTTTTTAAGTTAAGATTCTGTTTGTTTAGCCCATGTTGATACAGTAGCTCTTTATTTTCCCTGTAACACTGGTGGGAAGTACCAGGACTCCAGAACTCAGAGAGTGGTGGCTAAGCCCTTCTGGATTTTATAAATGCCCTTTTAATCCGTCCCCAGCCTTTATTCTCAAAGTTAAAAGGTCTCTGCATTTTAATCAGACTTCATATGACAGTGTCTTGATCCCATTGCTTATCATAATTGCCTCCCATTTTTATCCCACCTCTTTTGGATGCCAAGGACAGAACTATATGCAATATTCCCAAGTCTAGACATACCTTGGGCTAGGAGTAAAGAAAGGGGAATGTCCTCTCTTTGGTTTATTTTGAGCTTCATGGAAATGCAGCACAATTAGAAAATGTTTTTGTTGTTATGACTGGCTGCCTCTCTTTGCTGTAAGAGCACAGTGGACTGATAACATCAAGGAGTAAAGTATCTATGATGATTATTTTCTAAGTGCAGATGGGTTCAGAGCTCATCACCTTCCAAACAGCATCCCTCCACGCTGATGGCAGTCAGATACCTGCCTGCTCACTTTCCCGGTGCTGTGGAGCCATAGTCTGTGACCACACAACATTTTCTGACCAGTCCCCTTGTTCAGAACTGTTTACTTAGCTCAGTGAATGAGAACGCGGTATGAGTGGGATCCCAATAGCTGGAGTTCCTCTTCCACATGGGTCATCACTCTGTAAAGAAAGTCAAGTTTGCTGGCAGGCACCATTCTTTCTATAAGCAAATGACTCACAGTGGCATGTTTGGCAATGTATTCCAAACATATTTTGTCTCCAATGCACAGAAATAAATATCTTTTACATTGCAAATCAGTACACAGACACATGCACACATCTGAAACCAAAATTTCACAAAATAATACTCTTGCTAGGTGATAAAAGGTAAAAATAAGCAAAATATGGTGCAAAAACCATCCCCAAACAATCTTTTCAAAAGATGCTAGTCGTATCATACTAAATTGATTTTGGGCACAAACTGCTGAGACGAGCAGTTTGAAAAACAATAGGTTATAATACTTTTATGTAAAGGACTCAAACTTTTTCTTTTCATTCTTTTCCTTTTAAAATTTCTTTTCCTTCCTTCCTCCCTCCTTCCTTTCCTACCTTCCTTTCCTTCCTTCCTTCCTATCTGTCTTTCTTTTTTTCTTTCTTTCTTTCCTTTTTGAGAAATGCTTTTGGAGAGAGATTAAAGTACAAAGTTAGCAACATGCCAATCTGATCCCCACTAAGAGACCGGAAATTCACATTGTTTCCCAGTCTATGACTCATATCCTGGGTCACAGGCTACGCGTGTCTTTGGCTTCACTTTACGTTGCTAAATTACTCCCCAAAAAGGTCACACCAGTGTACTTCTCCAATATCAGTGCCTGAGAGGTCCTGAGTCTCTGCTTCCTTGGTAATGCTGATATTGTGAAACTTTAAAAGTTGTGCTAATCTGATGTGAAATTGTTCAAAAGATCATTCTCATAATTATTAATGAAATTGAACATTGATATATATTGATCAATCAGACTTCCTTGTACATGAAATGACTTTTCATATTTTTGGTCCATTTTTCTATTAGGTTGTACTTTGTTATTAATTTGTAGCAGTTTTTGGTGTATTTGATATAGCAAGCATCTATATACTAAGCGTTTGTTAGTTACATGAACATCATGTATTACACGTAATACAAATCATGTATTACATACTCCCTTCTTTCCCCTCTGATTTGCTATCCCATTTCTACCATTTTGCGAAACTATGCACGTCTCTTTCTAAGATTTCTACTCTCTTCTATTGTCCTATTTGCTTATCTTTGAATCAATACCATACTGTTTTAATTATGATAGTTTTATAATAGGTTTAATCTTCCCTCTTTTTCTTCTTCAGCTACTCTTGGCCCTTTATTCCACTATATAAGTTTTAGAATATATTTTTACAATCCATAAAAATTCTTGTTGGTATTTGAATGGAATTATTTGTAATTTGTAATTTGGGTAGGATTGTCATCTTTTTGAATTTTTCAAATTGTTTAACAAAGTCTATGTCTCTGTTCATTCAGATTATCTTTTATTTCTTTAATAATACAACTTTTCTCCATTAATGATATTGAAAATATCTTGTTAGATTTATTTCTAAATAACTCATAGTTTTGTTAACACTTAGAATATTGTCTCTTTTCTGTAATATTTTCTAATCGATTATTTTTGGTGTGGAGGAATGCTATTGAGTTTTGTATGTCAATCTGGAAATCTTTATGAGCTTTCTTATTGCTTCAAAACTTGGCTTGGATTTTCTAGCTAGATACTTACATAATAAATATGAGAACCACATTATTATGCTCAAATTCTTATAGTGTTTGCAAATACACCTGTTATGATTATCTGTATACACATATCTGGGTTGACAAAAGCTTCCATTTCTCTTAAGTCAAGAGAGGGATGACTGGTCATATGGAAAGCATATGGGGTACTTTTCAAGAAACTGTCAATCTGTTTTCCAAATGGTTGTATGATTTTCCATTCACTCCTCCAGCAGTGTATGCAAATTCCAGTGCTCGACATCTTTGACAACACTTGATATGTTCAGCCTTTTTAATTTTAGACGTTCTAGTCAGTATGTAGTATTTTACTGTGGTTATAACTTGCATTTCCCTAATGCCTTATGAAGTTGTGTACCTCTTCATGTACTTACTTGTCATCTGAACACTTTATTTAGTGACGTGTCCGTTCACATCTTTTGCCCAGTTTTTAAAATTACATTGTCTCTCTTATAACTAACTTGTAAAAATTCTTTATATATTCAAGATAAAAGTCCTTTGTTAGATGTTTAGCAAGTATTTTCTCCCAGTACATGGCTTGTCTTCTCATTGTCTTAAATGTCTTTTGAAGAGAAGAAATGTTTAATTTGATGAAGTCCTATGTATTGATTTTTTCTTTTATAGTTCTTTTGTTTCATGTCGTATTTAAGAAATCTTTGCCAAACCCAAGGTTAAGATTTTGTCCTGTTTTCTTCTCTGTTTTATTTTATAATATTAGCTTTTACATTTAGGCTTGAGATCCATTTTGAGTTAATTTTTAGAATCAGGTAAGAGTTGAGGTTGTCTATCCAATCATTCCAGCACCATTTACTGAAGATTATCTTTTCCCCCATTAGATTGCTTTTACACTTTTGTCGAAAATCAATTGACCATATATGTGAGACCAATTTCTAAACTCACAATTCTGTTTCATTGATCTATATGTCTTCTTTCTGTCAAAACTACATTATCTTAATTACTATAGTTTTATAATAAATCTTGAAACTAGTTAGTCAAGTCATCCAACTCTTCTCTTTTTAAATGTTGGCTATTTTGGCAATTTTATTTGCATACAAATTTTTTATTCAGATTTTATCTTATTTATTATTGAAGTATAGTTGATGTACAATATTATATTAGTTTCATGTGCACAACATAATGATTTGACATTTATATACATTACAAAATGATCATCACAATGTCTAGTTACCGTCCGTCATCATACAAAAAGTTATTACATTATTATTGACTATATTCCCTATGCTGTACATCTCCATTCTTACTTATTTTATAACTGAAAGTTTGTACCTTTTAATCCCCTTCACCTGTGTTACCCATCCTTTCACCCCTCCTCACCTCTACTGACTGCCAGTTTGTTCTTTGTATCTATGAGTTTGTTTCTGTTTTATTTTGTTTATTCAATGGTTTTGTTTCTTAGATTCCACATATGAGTGAAACCTTGTGGTATTTGTCTTTCTCTGTTTGACTTTTTTCACATAGCATAATACCCTCTCATTCCATCCATGTTGTTGCAATGGCAAGATTTCATTGTTTTTCATTTATTTGCTTATTTTCGGATGTACATCATAATATATTTCGAATTCTGTGTAGATTACATCATGTTCACCACCCAAAAACTAATTATAGTGCATCCCCTCACGTGTGAGCCTAAGCACCCCTTTTGCCCTCCCTCCTCCCTGCTTCCCCTTTGGTAGCCACCAATCCAATCTCCAATGCTATGTGTTTGTGGTTTTTATCTTCTACTTATGAGTGAGATCATATGGTATTTGACGTTCTTCCTCTGACTTATTTCACTCAGCATAATACCCTGAAGGTCCATCCATGTTGTCACAAATGGCCAGATCTCATCATTTCTTATGGCTGAGTAGTAGTCCATCGTGTATAAATACCGCATCTTCTTTATCCATTCATCCCTTGATGGCCACCTAGGTTGCTTCCAAGTCTTGGCTATTGTGTATAATGCTGCAATGAACATAGGGGTGAAAGTATCTTTATGCCTTTGTGTTTTCAAGTTCTTTGGATAAATACCCAGCAGTGGGATAGCTGGATCATATGGTAGATCTATCCTTAATTTTCTGAGGATACTCCATACTGCTTTCCATAGTGGCTGCACCAGTTTGCACTGCCACCAGCAGTGAACAAGGGTTCCCTTCTCTCCACATCCTCTCCAACGTTTGTTGTTTCCTGTCTTGTTAATTACAGCCATTCTGACCGGAGTAAGGTGACACCTCATTGTAGTTTTGATTTGCATTTCCCTGATAACTAATGATGTTGTGCATCTTTTCATATGCCTGTTGGCCATCCGTATATCTTCTTTGGAGAAATGTCTGTTCAGATCTTTTGCCCATTTTCTAATTGGATTGTTGTGGTTTTTTGTTGATGAGCTGTATTAGTTCTTTGTATACTTTGGATATTAAACCCTTATCTGATATATGGTTTGCAAATATCTTCTCCCAATTGTTAGGTTGTCTTTTCATTTTGTTGATGGTTTCCTTTGCTGTGCAGAAGCTTTTAAGTTTGATGTAGTCCCATTTGTTCATTTTTTCTTTTGTTTCCCTTGCCCGGTCAGACATAGGACTTGAAAATATGCTGCTCAGACCAATGTCAAAGAGCGTACTGCCTATGTTTTCTTCTAGAACTTTCATGGTTTCAGGTCTTACATTCAAGTCTTTAATCCATTTTGAGCTGATTTTTGTTCCTGGTGTAAGGGAATGGTCTACTTTCATTGTTTTACATGTGGCTGTCCAGTTTTACCAACACCATTTATTGAAGAGACTCTCTTTTCTCCATCGTATGCTCTTGGCTCCCTTGTCAAATATTAACTGCCCACAAATGTGTGGGTTTACTTCTGGGTTCCCAATTCTGTTCCATTGATCTGTTGTCTGTTTTTGTGCCAGTACCATGCTGTTTTGGTTACTAGGGCTTTGTAGTATATTTTGAAATCAGGGAGTGTGATACCTCCAGTTTTGTTCTTTTTTTCTCAGGAATTCTTTGGCTATTTGGAGTCTTTTGTTGTTCCATATAAATTTTAGGATTCTTTGTTCTATTTCTGTGAAAAATGTTGTTGGAACTTTGATAGGGATTGCTTTGAATCTATAGATTGCTTTAGGAAGTATGGACATTTTAATGATGTTAATTCTTCCAATCCAAGAGCATGGAATATCTTTCCATTTCTTTGTGTCTTCTTCTATTTCTTTCAACAATGTTTTATAGTTTTCGGTGTACAGATCTTTCACCTCTTTGGTTAAGTTTATTCCTAGGTATTTTATTCTTTTTGTTTCAATTGTAAATGGGATTGTATTCTTAATTTCTCTTTCTGTTATTTCGTTGTTAGTGTATAGAAACACAACCGATTTTTGCATGTTGATTTTGTATCCTGTGACTTGACTGTATTCCTTTATTGTTTCTAAAAGTTTTTTAGTGGAATCTTTAGGGTTTTCTAGATATAAAATCACATCATCTGCAAAGAGTGACAGTTTCACTTCTCCTTTTCCAATGTGGATCCTTTTTATTTCTTTTTCTTGCTTGATTGCTCTGGCTAGCCCTTCCAATACTATGTTAAATAAGAGTGGTGACAGTGGGCATCCTTGTCTGGTTCCTGTTCTTAGAGGGATAACTTTCAGTTTTTCTCCATTGAGAATGATATTTGCTGTGGGTTTGTCATATATGGCCTTTACTATGTTGAGGTATTTTCCTTCTATACCCGTTTTATTTAGAGTTTTTATCATAAATGGATGCTGTATCTTGTCAAATGCTTTCTCTGCAACTGCTGAGATGAGCATGTGATTTTTATTC